GACCACACTTTGCTGGGACCCAGGCCACACTGAGGGCAGGCCATGCACCCAGCTGCCCCTTCCTTTGCTCCCACACCCCACCCTGCGGGGCCCACTCTGACCCAGCTCCTCCACAGAGCCACTCGGGTCAGCCAAGGCTCTGCCCTCTGCACCCTGGGAGCATGGTTGGGGTGAACATGGCCAAGTGCTGCAGGGACCCCAGGCCGCCAGCTGCCGCCTGGCCACACAGAGCAACCTCCACACCCCCCGGCCTCACAGGCAGCTGTCCCTGTGCACAGCCTGGGCCACCAGCCTCCTCCTGTGACGGCTCAGGTGACCGCATGGCTGCCTCCCCAGGCTGTTACAGCACCAGGGCAGACCAAGGAGGAGGGCAGCACCCAGAGAACTGAAGGGAAAGGAGGCTGCCTCGCTAGCTAGCGGGCTCAGCGGAACTCGCTTCCAGAGTCTGAGCCCCAATTCTAAGTTTGTTTTCATTTTTATCTTGCTCTTTAAGCGGGGCGGGGAGCAGGCAGAATCTTACAGAAGCAGAACTGAGCACAGGGCAGGGAGGTGCAGGCAGATGCGGCTTTAGCGGTTTCTCTCCCAGACGCAGGGCAGTGTGGGAGCCATTGTCTCAGCAGTCCACCTTCCAGCACGGGGCCCCTCGTGGTTTGGCAGAAGGGGCAAAGCCTCGAGACTGTCGGTCTGGGTCAGGCTTTGAGACTGTTGGCCTCTGCCTTGTCTTTTCGTATCTCAAGGGGTGGACGGCTCGAGGCCCTGGCTTGGTCTTTTCCCCACGATCTGCCGTGGACACTGCCCCTCACCGCCCCTCGCCGTCCGGGAAAGTGCACGCAGCCTGCTGTGATCTCCGGGCGCCTGGGCCTCACCCCAGGTGGCCCCTCACTCACCTGTGCACGCAGGCACCACGGTGGCTCCCAAGGCCACAGCACTGCCCTCACTCTCATTAAAAGAACCAAAACAAAATCAGTTTAGTTTTGTCTCTGAGGGAATTTTCCTAGCAAATCATAAAAAATGGAAGCAACATAGGTAAAAGTCTCCCGCCCATCCCCACGTGGCCCTAGCTGACGTCCTGGCTACGATCGGTGTGGAGTGTCCCTCGGTGTTGTTCTAGATGTTCACACGTGCACACTGCACACTGGACCATGGGTTATTTAAAGGGCTGAAATTTTTACTCAAAAAAGGTATCGATGTTTTTATTTTTACTTTCTTTTCCTTTTTTTTTTTCTTTTGAGCCTGGATTTGCAGCTGTCCTCAAACCTGCAGTCCTCCTGCCTCAGCCTCCCAAGTGCATTTATGCACGTTTCTGCATTTCTCTGTCTGTCCTTTATGTCCCCTGTCACTGAGAGACACTCTGCTTCTTGCGGCCAATCCCATGTCCAGCTTCAGCCATGACTGCACTCCCTCCACAGAAGGAGCAGAGGCAGTGCAGTCCCTTCTCATACAACACTCACGCCATCGGGCGCCCGAGGAGTAAACTGGGGGGTTTTGAGACAGGGTCTCACTACGTAGTCCAGGCTGGCCTTGAACTCAGGGCTATTCTCTTGCCTCAGCCTCCCGGTGCTGGGAACACAGGTGTGCGCCTGCTCCCGGTACGAAGTGTCACCGTTAACATGGGGCTGTACCTCAGAGTGCAGTCTGGCTGCCAAGTGCACCTGATCCAGATCTCACTCAGTCACTCATGAGCTCTGTCAGTTCTGGTCTGTGACAGTCATCTCTCTGGAGCTGCACCCTGCCCACCCTGTGGACTCAGTGGAACAAGAAAAGTGGCCCGAAACCGCTGCTTTCACACCAGGGCCGAGGGTCACACCTCAGTGCCATGGCCTTCCTGGTCCTGTGCTGCCCTCAGCGTCTGTCACGAGGTACAGGCTGAAGTGCCCTCAGGACTCGGGACAGCCACACGAAGGGCAGGCACGGCCTCGGCCACACAGGACACGGCTGTGGGCTGAGCTACACACACTCAAAATCCACAGGTGGGACCCTAACCCCAGGGCCCCAGGACCAGGCTGCATTTGGAGACATAAATGTAAAGAAACTGAACGAACTGAATGAGGTGACCAGGCTGGGTCCTCACCCCGAGTCAGGTCCTGCTAAACAGAAGGGGACACAGACACCCAGAGAAACACCAGTGAGGATCCCAGAAGGAGACACTCCCTGAGCAGCACAGAGCGAGGGGCCAATCCCAACTGCAGAGCGGACCGTACTGGCATGGGGCTCCAGGCTCAGGCCCCGGGAGAACAATGCCAGCAGCCAGCGGCCTGCACCCTCAGTGGCTTCTACTGCGGCAGCCCAAGCAGACGCAGAAGCCATTGCACACGATGTGACCCCAGCACCTGAGGCCCCAGCAGCCCCCTGGGTCAGGGAGCTTGCAGGTCTTCCCTCGAGCCCTCTCCCACCGGCACAGTGTCTCCCTCCTGTGCGTGCCCAGCTCCAGGTGCCCTTTGCCAATGGGAGGACGGCCCTGCCCAGCCCCAGGGGATTCAAGGCCCAAGAGGAGGCTTCCCACATCCTCGAGCCGGGTACCTGGTTCCCTGGGGTCCCCGGGGTGAGGATGCCCTGGCCTAGGAGGGCCCACATTCACGTGTCTCCGGCTCTGCCTTCCATCAAACCTCAGTCCTCCAACTGCCAACCAACCCTCATCCCCGAGGCGAGACATCCCAGGGCTCAGGGGACAGGAAAGGGCGGGCTCAGGGGCGGCCTGGCCAGAGCTGCCTGCTCAGAGATGTCAGGGCGTGGCAGACCAGGCTGGCTCCAGAGGAAAGCTGGGGCGAGGGAGACGGCACCCCAGGGGCTGAATGGTGCAGCCGGGCTGCAGGCTAGGCCGGCTCCTCTGACGGCACAGGTGGGGGTGCTGTGATCCGGAGTGGAAGGCCCAGTGCACACAGCCCCTCACCAGGCACCTGAAGACACCTCTGCCCCATGCGCCGCTGTCACGAAGCCGAGTGACAAGGAAAACATCACCTCAGAGAAGTCTCAGCCAGCAGCAGCAGCCGGGTCGGCTGGAGAGCAGACAGTGCACTCGACACAGAGATGCCGGGCTCTGGGCTCCACCGGCGCCGCTCGGCGTCATGTGGGAGACCCGACGCATGCAGGGTGCTCGTGGTGTGCCCACCAACGCAGCCACCAGGCCCTTGGCCTGCCTCTACCCCACCTGGCCCGAGCCAGTCAGCAGCCACTGCAGGTCTGCAGGGCATCTGCAGCTAGTGAGAAGCGCCTGCTTCCAGCACCGGCACCCTGGGAGGACGGTGCAGAAACATGGACTCCTCTCCCTGCCGGCGCAACCTGGCTCCCCACAGCCCAGCCAGGCTCGCAGCCTGCTCTGCCTCTGCTCCACAGTCCACACAGTGGTGCAGCAGCTTGGGGAGCAGCCCCTGGGGCTTGTGTGGTTTCCTCTCTGGCGCACACACTGCACCGCACTTCCACCCGAAGGTGAGGCCCGCAAGACCCCACTGCTGTGCGGTGTGGTCTCCATGGGCAGCAGGCCCAGGGCTGAGTGCAGGCGGGCAGCCCTCAGCCTTGGGCTACTGTGCTGCTGGCACAGGGCACAGGGAGGCACCTAAGATCGGGCCCCTGAATAGAAAACACGGGAGCCAAGCCCCTGCCGAGAGGCTGTGTGGCTAGTCAAGCTTGAAAATGTAAAGACAAACACAAGAAGAGGGGGAGATAAGAACTTTATAAGATAAATTAGTTAACAGCTCCTCTCTAACCTCTGGGCTGGACTTGGAAAACTTAAAAATGTAAATTAGGCTCTTTTTTTTTGGAACCAGTTATATAAGTAATTTTTTTAGACCCTAAACCCACAAAGTCACCTGTTGGAAACAAGGCCCCAGGCTCTGCTGATCTGTACAAGGCCAAAGCAAAAACACACTGGCCATTCCACTCCAGAAGGCCCTGGGGTCAGCACCACCCAGAGCTCCTTCTTACTTCCCGTAACCCGACCCCTGCCCTATCCCTGCCGTAACCTGCACCCCTGCCCTCTGGGGCTCCTGTCCCCTACACTTCCCCGAATGCTCAAGCATTAAATAACACTCTCCTAACTCCTTCCATTTGCTCAGGATTTTATTCAGTCATAAGATGCAGAGCTCAGGTTTACACAGAATTAACTGCTTCAATCCCAGGAGACCAGGAGCTAAAGGAGCAGACCAGTCTTCAAGGCGCACAGTTAGGGGAGCTGACCCTCAAGGACGATGTGGTCAGCGGAGACCCCAGAGAGCCAGAGCCAAGGACGAGACCCTCGAGACCAAGCCCACAGCGGCAGGGAGTGACCCCCGAGATGATGGGGGAGATTCCAGGAGGCAAGGGCCGGGCACATGCAGGACCCCCTGAAGTGGCCAGTGAGGGGTCTCTGCACCATCGGCACAGCGGAATCCCCACCCTGTGGGGCGCTGAGTCCAGACAGGCAGAGGCAGGAGGGAAGGAAGAGTGGGGCCGGGTGCATCTCCCATGCCTCCTTTGCGGTGAGGTCACCGAGGGTCCCCACCTGCCCTGTCCATGCCTTAAGAGCCGCAGCCCGGCTCCGTTGAGTCCCCTGGGGTTCCTGCCCCCACGGCTCCCCCTCGAGCGCAAGCGTAAGAGTACAAGCATGCGCTACGCCAGGAGCCCCTGTCTGACTCTTCTGGCAGAAGCAACAGGCGCAGGAGCCTGGGTGGAGGGAGCACAGGGATATGCACCGTGGCCACCTCCTCCCACCCTAAGTGAGCCAGCTGTCAATACTGCAAGAACCTTCTCACCTCAGATGCAGGGATTCGAAGGCTGTGCTGGAAATAACAGCTCACAGGGCTGCAGGAGCAGAGCCCAGAGGGGACCCGCAGGAGCAGGGACCCGCACCACCCAGCCGTCCTGCCCAGGACAGGGGAACTATCAGGTCAGAGCCGGCCCTGGGTGGGAGCAGGCGGGACCCAGGGCACGGGGCAGCGCAGGGCGGCGTGGCCCTCCTTCTGCCAAGGCCGGGAGCCAAGCTGTGCAACCTGCAAACAGGTCCTGAACCGCTCCCACAGGCTTACCTTTCGGTCCTCTTTGGTCTTCCTGAGGTTTCGAGGGGGCCCGAAGAGGTTCTGCATCCCGAAAGCCTTCCTGGCCCAGTCCCGCTTCTGGGTGCTCAGTGGGGCCTGCACAAAGCTGCCCTCCACCCGGTAGCGGTCCGCAGGGATCTTGCTCATGGGGGGTGGCAGTGTGCCGCAGTTGACGCTGGACCAGCCGTCCGTGGAGTCTGTGTAGGACTCCTGGTCACTGGCGTGGCCGCACTGCCACTCCTGGAGCACATGCACTGGCAGCCACCTCTGGCCGAGCCCGCAGCTGGAGCCAGCGGCGCCCCGCTTGGAAGGAGGGACGGAACTGCGAAGCGAGGCGGGGGCGCCCTCCCCCAGCGAGGCTGGCCCCAGGGGCTTGCTCAGGTCCCAGAGCCGGTCTGTGTGCGAGCCGGCCTCCAGCAAGGCGCCCCCCTCGGGGTCGAGGCTCAAGGCCCTGGTCCAGGAGCCGGCCCCGGGCTGAGAGCTCCTCGCACCCGTGCCCTCCCAGCCGCCACCACTGCCCGGGCCGTGCCTGCTCGAGGCCCCGCCCAGGTCCACCACGAGCACCCGGTTGCTCTTCTCCTCCTGGGCGAAGTTCCCGATGCCGCTGTCGCTGTTGCTGCTGGTGCTGTTGTTCTGCTGGGCGTCGACATCGCCATCCAGGAAGGCGCGGGCCCGGACGCCCTCGATGAGCTCACCCATGTCCCGGTACAGCACAGAGACGAACTGCAGCACCGGCAGCGAGGACGCCGGGAACTCCAGGCAGCCGCTGGTGTCGGGGTCGGCCGTGCACGCGAAGCCGAAGCGCCGCGCAATGCCCTGGTGGATCTTGTGGTGGAACAGGTCAGGGTCCACCATGAACACGTGGCAGGACGTCCGCAGGGCGCACTCCTCGCCCGGCGCCAGGCTCCCGTCGTCATTCATCTGCATGGTCACCAGCCCAAAGAACCGCCTGTCGTCTGGGCATACGGCGCTGAAAGCCAGCTTCTCAGCCGGGTACTCGGCCACCACACAGGCCTTGTCGGAGCACAGCAGCACGCGGTCGTGCATGACCTTCATGGTGACCAGCGAGTGGATCTTCTGCTCAGCCCGCAGGCGCCGCATGCAGCCGCGGATGGCCTGCAGGCTGTCGGACTCCAGGTTGGAACTGGTGGAGGGCAGCTCAATGGAGCCCAGGTAGCCCACGACCATGGCCACGTTCAGGATGCTGGCGTCCAGCACAAAGCTGTCCGGGTTCTCAGGGCCAGTGCTGAAGACGTCGTCGTGGATCATCCTCGCCACCTCCTCCGTGGAGAGCAGGCCGGGGTGCACGGCGCTGGGACTGTCCTCTGGCCACGTGGCGGCCGACTCCGACAGGGACCTCTGCTTTCCCTTCAAGGGCTCCAGGCCACTGGAGCACAGACTCGGGTTTTCAAAAATCATGCTGAAAATCCCACCGGACTGCATCTCCTCCACGACCCTCTCCGCCCTGTTTATCCCCAGGGCCTTGGAGTCGAGCTTGGGCCGCAGCCAGCCCCTGCCCTCCCAGACTCCGCCCTCATCATCGCTGGAGCAGGCCTCGGGGTGGCCAGAGCCCTCCCCGATGACCAGGCGCAGCACCCCAGAGCACTTCCCGATGAGCTTCACCACGTCCTCATGCGAGGCCCTCTTCACGTTGATCTCATTGATGGCGAAGATCTGGTCCCCAGCACGGAGGCCGACGAAGTCCGCAGGGCTGCCCCGCAGGACCCCACTCAGCACGCAGGGTGCCTGCCCCGAGAGCGTGAAGCCATAGCCAGCGCGGCCGCGGGCCACCTCCACGCTGCGCATGCAAGGGGGCGCGGGCCCAGGGGGCAGCCTCTTCGCTGGCTCCCCTGCCCTATACATGATGGGGAGTGGTCAGCCCCAGGAACATGTCCAGTCACGCCAGGGGACCCAGGCCTCCAGGAACTCTCGACACTGCCATGCTCTGCCGCAGTAAAGCCCTGAGAGGAAAACAAACAGCTCGTTACTAACAGTCCTGGATTTCTACTCCTTGCTGGTGTTGCCCAACATAGAGATAATTCACAGCCAGGCAAGATGGCCCACACCTGCAATTCCAGCTACTAGGGAGGCTGAGGCAGGAGAATTCCAAGTTCAAAACCAACCTGGGCAACTTAAAGAGACCCTGTCTAAATATGAAATTTTTTTTTCCAGGCCACAACAAGCCTTTATTACGGGAACAGATCTGCCAGGCTGTCTCTAAACAAAGGAGAGACAAAGGCCAACAATTTTTTCTTTCAATATGAGAATTTTTAAAAAGACAGAGGGCATAGGTCAATGGTGGAGCACTTGCGTACCATGTGTAAGGCCCTAGGTTCAATCCCCAGGGACACACACACAAACACACACACACACACACACCAAATAATAAAAAACAGCACAGGGGCTGGGGATTTAGCTCAGTGGTTCCACCGCCTGCTTTGCAAGCATAAGGTGTCGAGTTCAATCCCCAGTACCAAAGAAAAAAAAACAAAACAGCATAGGCTGGATGTGGTGACACAGAACTCTGGGAGGTTGAGGCAGGAGGGTCGCAAGTTTGGGTCCAGCCTGGAAAACCTAGTGACTTAGCAATACCCTGTTTCAAAATTAAAAATTAAAAGGGGCTGGGATGTAGCTCAGTGTAAAGGCCCTGGGCTGAATCCGAGGAAGAGGAGGGGGAGGGGGAAGAAGGAAGAAGAGGAAGAGGAGGAGGAGGAGGAGGAAGAGGAGGAAGAAAAGCCCCACAGCAAGAGTACCCAGTTACCTTGTGAATGTCAAGATGGAGGAGAAGGGTCTGTACCTGGGGACCTGAGGGTTGGCTACGAACCCTCCCTCTATCAAGGCAGGGCGGTCTCCCAGAGCTGAGGCTCCCCGGGCCTGCAGGGCTCGGCAGGGCGCCCCCAGTTTCAGCAGCTTCTGAGTGGGAGGGAGGCCACTCGGCCCACCCCAGACCCCAGGCCCCGGCACACAGGGTCACGCGAGCCCCGCCCTTATGTGACCACAGACACCCTCCGCAGTTCCCCTCGGGGTGGGGTCACCCCGGACCCTTTCAAAGCCCGTGACCCCCTAACAATTAATTTATTTTGAACAAAGAGCCATGGGGGGAAAACACATCAGCCTGAGACAACCTCAATCAATAAAACTACAGCGGTCAGCCAAAAGGACAAAGACAACCAGAAAAGCAAAGAAATATGATTCTCACTTAGTTACTTCCAGAGGCACAACTAAAATTTACAGGGCCCCAGGCGGCAAGGCCCACGAGGGGCTAAGTGGGTCAAGGCAGGGTTGGCGTAGGAGAGGGCGCAGGGGCGGAGACCGGGGAGCCCCAGGGTCCCCTCGCGGGGCTCACTCGGGACACGCGTAACCCCCAGCGAGGAGCTGTGGCAATGCGTGGAGCCCAGCGGGAACTCAGGCTCCAGGGTCTCACCGGGGCTGCGCCCACAGCACCCCTGACGGGCGGGCACCGAACTCCAGACTCCGGAGGGAAAGCTGGGGTCACACAAACCACAGCATCTCCTCAGCCTGCATAGGCCCAGGGTGGGTGCCCTCCGGGCCTCCAGCTCCCCGGGCCCCACCTGGCCGAGAAAACTCCACTGCTGCAGCTAAGACAGCTTAAAAGAGCAATCAATCCAGTGGGTAGCTCAAGACCGAGACAGCAGAGAGCGACTTCAGAGGGCAACTTCAGTGTCTGCAGTCACTGCTGTTAGGGTTAGAAGCTTCTGTCCTGGACAGATTCCGGGAACAGAACCGTAAACAGACTCTGTTTCCAGAACCAGAAGCCGAGGAGCTGGAGGCGGGAGGAGCAGCAGGGGGACCCCAGGGCTGCCCCGATGATGCAGGTCTGAGGAAAATGTTCCGATTTGTGTCTTAGTTACCGACTCCGCGATGACACACAAAACCCAGCGCCCACAGTTCAAAGGAGGGGGGACCAGGGAGGGAGAGAAACCCTTCTTAATTTGACAAGGGGGGGTTCCAGGCCACGCCCCAGCACCCCCTCACCCGGCCGCCTCACAGCAGTCAGCTGTGAGCCCCACGACCCACCAGGAGCCCCACCAGGAGCGGCGAGGCCTACAGGCGGCTTTCTCAACACAAACTGCGGCATTCTGCTCCCGCCCCAAAGACCCGCGCGCATGTTTCACACAAAGTGCACTCAGCCTGTGTCTGAGAGGCACCCAAGTCTTCAAAGTTCCAACACTGCTGCAAAGTCCAAGTCCACAGTCTCTGCTGAGTCTACAGGCAAACTCTGAGCCCCTGTGGAAAGCAAGGAGCAAGGTGGAGCACGCCCATCCATACTCCCAGCACGGGGAGCCCGGGGCAGAGGCATCCCCATGACGCCAGCTTGGAATACACAGCGAGACCCTGTCTGGAAAAACCCAAAAATAAAAAACTGCATTAAACGCTGTCAACCTACAAAGTTACGGGGTAAACATTCTCCTTCCAAAAAGGAGAAACGGGGAGAGAAAGGAAGAATGGGGCCAAAGCGGCAGGACAGACGCGAAGTCCCGCAGCTGGGGGACTTGGCTCCCCAGGTGCTGAGAGGTGGGCCGAGCAGGGAGCGCCTGCTCCAGAGAGGCCCAGGTGCCCCTCTGCAGTCCTCCCCGGCCAGCCCGGGTCCGCACAGGTGCCAGCGCGCCCTCTTCAGCGGGACAGTGCCCCAGCCCTGCTGCCTCACACCTGCCGCTCCCCAGCAGGCCCCAGCCCCCGCAGAAGAGCCGGCCTGCCCTGCGGGCCCCCATGCTCACACTTGTGGCTCCCACACATCCCCCCACCCCTGGGCCACTGCAGAGCCCTTCCGAGGCCCTGAGTTCCCTTTCTGCCTGTCCTGACTCACACGGACCTGGGCCTGGCTCCCGGACATGGGACACGCGCAGGTTCCTGAATCACCAAGGCCAGTTTGGGGCCCTGTGACTGCCACCCACAATCACCATCTTCCGCAAAGCTCTGCATGGAGCAGCCCTTGTCCCCCGGCTCCTGGTCCCAGCCCCCTGACAACACCCTCCCTGCAAAGCGTACTCTGCAGGACCCCAAGAACAGCACCAGCTCGGCCCCAACTCCAACACCTGCTGCTGGCAAGACCCTGGGACCAACCAGAGGGCCTGGTGGGCACAGGGCACCCCGGCCCCTCCCACGCCGACCGGGGCCCTTCTCCCTGCTCCTCCCCAGGGACCCCTCGCCTCTGACTGGCACTGTCCCCATCACACCAGTGACTCTCACGTGACTAAAACGAGGTGAGAGGGGAAGCAGAGAGAAAGACTCTCAAAGAAACATGGGCGGATCCCCCAGCCACCAAAACAAAAGGCCTTCCCCAATGATGAATGTAACTGTACTTTATACCTAAAGTATACCAATAAAGTTAATGGGGAAAAAAACCCAAAAGGGCTTCCTACCCACCTTGGATCCAAGGGGCACAGGACAACGTGGAAGCCACCGGTCCACCCAAGGCTCTGGCAGCGCTTGCAGCAAGGCTGGTCCCAAATGAAGAGCGGACCACACGGTGCCAGGGACAGAGTGGAATGACCGGCTGGCCGGCCTCATGAACAATGGCCAGCATTCGCCCACTGGCACCTGGGAGCCCTTGGTCCCAAACTGCCCATTTCCCAGAATTAAGGACAGACAAGAACCGAATGCAAAAGGCCCACAAGTGCTGAGCAGAGAAATTTTTTTAATTCCTACAAACATTCAGGGGAAAGGACAGGCCTCCTAGGGGGCACCGAGCTGCCCCAGACACTGAGCACCTAAGGGCCAGCGCCAGAAGCATGGTGTCCCAGCCAGGCGGTGCCCTGCGTGTGCCTGGGACTGGCGCCTCACGTCCAGGTCACCGGAGTGCAGAAGTGCGTGTGGCGGTCTTGCTCCAGACCACCACCTGCGGCAGCACCTAGCGGGGAGGCCGGCCACGTGGGTGCCCGGGCCCTGGACACAGATGGGTGAGAAGCACAGTGCTGACAATGACTCTGTGGCTCTCAGCAGAGCAGGGGCGCCTCCCAGGCCCATCTACACATCCACATGGATGCTCCACCAGGGGCCGAGGCTGTGGGAAGGACCTGGCCAGCAGGGTCAGCAGGGCCACTGGGCAGAGCCCCTCCCAGCCCCAGCCCAGCCTGTCAGAGGCACCCACATGTCTGCGACAGTGACCATCGATCAGGCTCACAGCTTCGGCAGCCTGGCCAAGGCCCCAGCTCCAGGAATGTGACAAACACCCTCAAGGCTGAAGAAGCCCTGTGCGTGGCTTCTGCCCCACGCCCAGCCCACCAGGGAAGGAAGGTGCCCCGCCTCTCTGAACACATCCTGGAACCATGGGGACAGGGACAGAAGAGGCTTTCTCCAGCCTTCTCATCTGCCTCCGTCTGCCTCTGACGCCCCTGCTGTGCCCACGTCTGCCCACACGTGGATGCGGTACCCTCCATGCCAACCCCTTCTCGGGCAGAGGGAAGCCACTGGGGCAACAGGGCCACCCGGGAGCCTGACAGCCTCGGGGAGGAGTGAGCACAAAGCTGCCCATCCCAGCCCCGACCGCCTCCTCCGGGCCTCTCCTGCAATGACACTCCCAACCCTCAGCCCTGCAGCCTCCTTCTGGGCCCAGTGTGGCCCTGGCTCAGGAAAGGGGCTAAGACAGGGCCTGGCGGTGCAGGCCATGAGGGGTCAGAAATGAAGGGCATAGGTGTCAGAGGCTGATCGCCCTCAAGTGTCCTCACAAGCCACTTTTGGGGGCCTGGTCTCCAGCCATAGTGCTGTTGGAGGTGGTGGCACCCCTAGGAGTGCAGGGTGCTCCTGGCATGGACAGGGGGGCCTGGCCCTTCTGGCCCCCATGAGGGGACAGCTCTGCCCACCCCACCGCACACCATGCAAGGCCACTATGACATGGCCCAAGGGCAGTGGCGCCAACGATCACAGACCGAAGCCTCCAAACCCAGGACCGAAGAGAAACCTGCTTCCTGTGAGCTGGCTGTCTCGGGTTTCTGTCGCAGTGACGGAAAGCACACATATTTTCTAAGTGTCCTGAAAAGGACACGTACTTGTGTAATAAGGAAAGGAGACAAAGAGTCGAGAAGGCTTTACACTTCGCCCATTATAATCACGAATGAACTGCCTAACTCCTAGTCGTCCCTCCAGATCCACACCGCCCGGCCCACGGCCAGCCCAGGGGAGCAGGGGACAGGCGCAGAGACAGCTCAATCTGCATGCTCAGGGGACAGTGGGGGACGGGGCGGGGCCCCTAAACAACAGACCCTGACCAGACCACTGGGAAATCTCCCAGGGACCTCTCTGCTGCCCCTCACCCACCACCCTCCACCTAGCCTGACCCAGCCCCACCAGCAGGGCCAGCGGGGACCACAGTGCTCCCAGCCCAGGGAGACACAGAGCAATGAGGGCTGGGCCAACCCACTGGCCACCCGCACAACCCGATGTGCGGGAACCCAGCTCGGCTCGCTCACACCCAGCCCCAGAGTCCCTCTGCACCCGGGAGGAAGGGGAGGAAGCGGACACTCGCGAGCATCTGCAGAGGCCAGGGGCTGAGGTGCGTGGGGCAACGAGTCCAGGCAGCAGAAAGCTCCAACTGCACCACAGGAGCCCAGAGGGCACAGCCACCCAAGTCCCTGGGCCCCGGGAAGCCCCCACATCTCCTCCTCTAACGCGTCATGCACCGCCACTGCCCGAGGCCCTCGGGCCCCTCACCCTGAGGTGCTGCCCACCATGCGCCGCCTGGCCTCCTGCTGGCGGGCCGGTGCAGCGCTCACAGAGGGACACCAACCAGACTCCCAGGAGCCCACAAGGTTTCTGGAAAAGTCTCTCGGCAGAAACAAACAGTAGGAACTCCAGGGTCAAAAGATAGAGCGGGCACCAGAGCCAGAAACAACTGCTGGCAGAGAACACAGCTCAACTGCAAACACCTGCTGTCTTTCAGCGAGGG